TATGCTGTCCTTGATTCATTTTTGAAACCATGGATGTTGTGAGTTCAAATAATTATCTTATCGCCATGGATAAGGCTGAGGATTTCATCTACCATTTAGGAATTCTCTAATTTGAATCTTGTCTTGACCATCAATAAGCTAATCAATCTAAATCAATAAACTATATAGATAATCTAATCAAGCCACCTTTTAAACCTTTGCCCTATCCCCTTCTTCATTATTGAGATAACCTCTCCTATCTAATAGGTTTTCAGCAATAATTCCAATATGTTAATATGTATAAACACTAGAAGGAGCTATCAGAGCTGATCATCATCATGATCATCAGCTTATAAGCAAACAGCAAGTTGCAGAAAGTTGTTTCAATGCAAAGTTTAAACATTTACCAAACAGCAGCAAAATAGAGTTGGCATTTGTAAGGGCTGAAGTTGGCATGGCAGAAAACAGAAGGTAGGGTTACATCTAAACAGAACTGTTACGTAAACATTGACCAAGTGTTTTCCAATCTCAAGGCTGGGAAAAAGCCTAGAATTTAAACCTCATATATGGCTCTATTACGTGGTTTTGCAGCAAGCAGTCCTTCTCTGTATGCATGAATTCTATCTTGTCTGCAAAAAAGGAACCTATCTAACAGTGTCAAGTCTGTGAGTTTCTGCTGTAAGCAAGTTCCTGAATACAGGGTTAAGTGCCTAGAGAATCAAGATTCGTTACCGTGCCTGACATGAAGTGTGGCATGCTGCTTGCATGCTACGGCACAGATAGTTGCATGTATATCTTCTTCTATATAGACCTCTGTCCATTGTTGCAATTTACTCATAGTTTATTGCTGAATTGAAGAACTACTAATTTGGTTGAGGGAATTAAACCAATTAAAACACATCCATGAAATATTCTGTAAATGGAACCTAAGATTATATACAGTGTATACTATATTGAACATGATATCTGTGATGAAGTTCTGTACAGCTTAAGTAAATCTGTCTTGTCTGTACTACCTTTGATAGAATATGTCGTTTTAAGATTTGCTGCTCTCGTTCCTAATGCTCTAGTGCAAGAAGAATAGATAAGGGGGAGAGGTGCCAGTAATGTAGGATGTAGGAGAATCTCTTAGCTGTTCTGCAGACATGTTCTTAAAATGTTCATAGCCACTATAGACTCATAGGTAAAGTGATTTTATGCCAGGGTTGTAAGCAGTTGGGTATGTTGATGTTATTGTGCTGGGGACCATCCTAATGGTTAGATGTGTAATAGGAATGGTAAAGAGATATGGTGATGGGGCACTGCAGGGCCTGGGCCTGGACGTGTCCTTTTCAAAGTCCTTAGGGTCTTCACAGGACCTGCTCCATGAGTGCTGCTTTGCATGACTGATGTATGGTGATGATAACCTTTTATAATAGGATTGTAGCAGAGCAAGAAGGATTTCCCTAACCCCCCTTTTTTAACATACAAGGCATGCCTGTATCTACATTAGTACAAGCATGTGCTATTTGTATCTATGAAGAAATATGGGAAGACTGTACAAATTGGAGAACTGATCTCAGGGATTCTTCAGCTTAATCTGTGTTCATCAGACTGATGAGCCAGCAATCTTTGTTCATTCTTTGTTTTCATTTGGAAGATGCTCTATCAGAAACTTGGATGGATCCTGTGAAAATATATTCTCAAAGTTATGCTGTTGAGAGAATGTAGAATTTCAACCATGGGTAGCTATGTTTTGACTTATTTTTAGGGCAGTTTTGTTAGAATTATTTTTGTAGCATATGTGTTTTTTAAAGAAGAAATAATATATTTTCAAAAACTGCAAGCTATTAAACTGAAACTTCCAATATTTATTTTCATATATAATATAAATAAAACCCGGTTCTTCCATTCTGCACAAGAATAGAATATAGTAAACACAGACTATATAGTTTACCATAGGCTAGTAGAATACAACCTATGTGTATTCTGCAAGTATTTCTTGCTTATTTTCCTTTCCAAAAATATGCTAATGTAAATTAACTGATAAGAAAAAAATCTTATGGTATGATCTTCATTCAAAAAGCATATATTTGCAATAGTTTTGTACTTAAAACATTTTACTGCTGTTGCATAAGCACAAGAAAATGGATAGTTCTAAGCCAGGTTACTTTTGGTACATTCTTTGTGGGCAGATCGCGTGCCATAATTCAACATTTATCTTTGAATCCATCGCTTAACTTTTAAGAGCTAACTATCCAATATATAGTCAGACTCAGAAATAATTTCTAGTTTAGGTTAGTGATCTGTAGAAAAGCACGGATTTTTAAAAAAGGATTCTTTTGAAAACAGCACCACTTTCAACATTGCTTTTAGAAGCATATTAATTTTCAACAGGTCTGAAATAGAAAAGCTCAGTCAGAGTGCAAATAGGCATAAATATTAAGTGATGCCTCTGAATACAGAAAAGTAAACACAAGGGATGCACAAAATTTTGATAAACTGAGGTGGAATCCAACATTCCTTGCATGAGTGGCTGTATAATGTGGCGATAGCTGTGAGAAAAGAAGAGCCCAGCATCTAAGACCCAACACAATGGAAATGCAATGAATCGGAATGCCTCACAGATCATAGCGGAATCAGAATTTCCAGCAAGGAAAATCTTTTCATGGTGAATTAAGTGGTGGAGGAAGAAAAATGGTGATTGAAAAAAGGTAGGCACAGATCAGAAACATGGGGCTCAGGGCTCACTGCTGAAGATTTAAGAACCTCAGCTAAAGCTATACAGAATAGAATGTGGAAAATTGAATTTACTAAACAATTAAGCATTGAATTAATCTACATCCCGCACAGTAGAGAAGTGGGGGAGTAAACCAAATGGCGCTGAATAAATCAGTGGAGCTCATTAAAAGATAGTGAATATTTCAGGTCGGTTGTCACATAAAGGAGGACAGGCTATCCACAGCATATAGCATGGCATATAATTCTTTATTTCTGAGCCACCCTTTCCTTTGAATAGCATCATCCTTCTAATCACATTAATGAACATTTCTGCTGAGGTTATGGTGGTGGTTCAATATTTTACCTTGTTATCTGTGGCTTTTCTATTAATTACACGTCAGATCACTAGTCAACAATAGTAGTCGGGAGCAACATAAATAGCATGAGTGCACCCTGGAGATGTAACTCTGAGGATCTGATGCATCCTGGAGCTCCCATGGGTTCTTGCAACCTCCCACATGCTTTGCTAGCCTTTTCTTCAATTACAGTTAATGCAATAGTTTGCCATTTTCTCTTTCTAATTATATTTTCAAGTGGGATTTGTAGCACATAGAAAAACATCCTCCTTTTACATGTTGAGGCACCAGGGCTTTGTGCCTGGCATTGTCTGTCCCCTGGGTGCTGTACCATTCTTTCTGCAGAGCTCTGAATAAACAAGTCCCCCTTTTAAAGCTGCAGTTGTACAAACTGGAAATTTATGCATTAACTGTTTGCATTCTGAGCATGTGTTCCAGATTTCCTCTCACAGCGTCCTTATGCTGCTATGCTGCAAAAAAGTTTGTTTGTCAGAGGAGATTTCTCTTCAGGATTTGCACATCAGTCTTTCAATTACTGGATCAATGAACACATTTGGCTTTCACAGTTTGGGTAACAGGAGAATTAAAATACAATGTGGGGTTTTTCCAGGTCTTGTCTTTAATTGTGAGGATGCAATTTATCCATACCATACATGCATGCTTGCGTGTGGGTGTATGTGTATACCAAGCTTTAAAAAAAATGGAAAAGGGTATTTTAATTGGCTAGAAAGACATTTTATAGTGCTTTTGTCCCATTAACCTGCATTTTGTTGACCAAATTACATGTTTTCGAATATCTTCCTTAAAGATGTGTGCTTTGGGGGCAAACTAGATGAAATGGGAGGCACTCACTTTTGGTTTTGGGTTCATTTATATATACAGTAGAGTGCAAATGTTATGTTAATAAGATACGTAAATGAAGTTGGATGAAGCTCTGTTTAATTTCTTCATTACCCTTCCCTCCAAACACTTTTCCTCTCAGTTAATCTACATTCAGTACCAGAGTGGTCATGGAGAAACTTCAAGTAGCAAAGAATGCAGTATGGTGGTTTCACTCTTCTTATCTGAATGCTTGCAGTGTGTAAAAGCAGATTTTGACTGTATATTTGGTGTATGGAAATAGGGAAAAGGAACAGCCTTGTCACATCTACCATTTAAATTCTCTTTGACCTGACAATCTAAAGTTTATATTTTAATTAATACTAATGCAAATGTCATTAAAACAGATCTTGATTGTTTGTGATAGAAATATAGTGGTTGACTTGATTATTTATTTTTCCCATCCACTAATTATCTGTGGACAATATCACAACACAATAAATAATGCATACTCACAAATACAGATGTCCACTGAGTCACTGGTGTTTTAACAGCTTAGTATTAAAAGCTAATTAAAATAATTTCTGGAGATAAAGGAAGATCGGAGGATTGCTGCCATGATTGTTTTCGTTAAAATTTAATTCACAGCCAATTTTTCCTATCTGAATGTCATTTTTAAATGTGCTCAATGATAAGAATCAACAACTGTTTTCTGTTCAGTACTACAAAAGTGCTCTACATGGAGCTGAATATATACAATCCACATGCAGTCATTGTTGCTCTAATTTCTTTTTATTCTAAAGCTTGGTCCTATTATCCATTTACCATGCAGCAGACATCTGATACACAATATTAAGTATGCTAAACCTGATTCCGAATTATATCTTTACATTTTCCTGTATGAGATTGAATTATACAGAATATTCTGTGCTAATTTCTCCTTCCCTAACAATTTAAGATAATCCCTCTTTAAAATAGGCAATACTCTATAAAGTATAATGTTTTTAGATTGTACTTTAACAAGATTAATGTGTTTTTAATTTTTATTTTGGTCATCTCCAGAAACTTAACCAAGTTGTATATCGTTTTTTCTGCACTGTGGAGGATGTCATTTGTTCTTTAATAATTTGTTTAATTTCCACCCAGCAGCCTTCCTGGAATAGAGACCATGATGACACAGCATCAACACGGTCAGGAGGAACGCCAGGGCCCTCCAGTGGAGGGCATACATCACACAGTGGGGACAATAGCAGTGAACAAGGTAGGAACTTTGTTCTGAATCTTGGTGTCTTTGGGATTCAAGCACCTAGCATACTAGTTTCAATGTTTTAGAAATAATGGTCATTATATTGGAATTTGAATCTGATACGGCAGCATGTAATAAAGCTTGCTTCAATTCCTAGGGGTAAATGCCTGTCCTTGATAGGCTATTCAACCCGGCCTTCACCACCAAGGTTGTTTCGAGATGGGGCTTTTATTGTGCAATCACTGTTCCTTATTCATGGAAAAATATTTCTGAGAGAGGGTCCACCAGTCCTGCTCTACCTCTATTAAGGAGATAAAGATGAAATAGCTCCAGAGTGTGTTTTGGCTGGTAATGCTAGGATCCCTGTATCTGGTTCCTGGATATCTCTGTAACACAGGTTCTCTTTTCAGCTGTAAGGATAGTAAATTACAAGAGGGCCATAATGCAAGATATAGATAATATACAAATCAGTATATTAGGCTCCCAGCATAGTTTTCTTTTAAATTGTAAAACAAAGTCTATCACTATGGTTCACACTTGCAAAATGGAAGCTTCTTTTCCTTTAACATTCAGGCTCACCTTTCTACACCTATCTTTTACTTTCTCCTATGACTCTCCACCTCAGTGTTTTACCTTGCTTAGGGGGAAAAAATCAAACTCTATTTTCTCTGTGGGTGTTCCATGTGGAACCCAGTTCAGACTGGAAAGAAGTCCACCATTTGTTCATTTTTATTTTATTGATGTCCTTGTATTACAGTAATTGACAGAAAGGATCCAGTAGAGGGAAAAGAGGGAGAGTGGAATATCTGAATTTTTGTCTAAATATTTGGTGCATGGAGAAATATTAACATTACACTGCATATATAGCTGTTTTGGTCCTTCCCATGTTCTGCCTATTTTATAAAAATGTCAGTTACTTTGTTTCAGAGCCAAACTAATGGTTCATTGAAGGAAAAAGAGATGGATCTTTGCATGTTATAAGTATTTGATATTGTACATCCTATGCATAATTAATTTTAAAAAAATACACTGCACAAACAAAAAAGTACACTTTTTTTTATTCTGCAAAGTCCAACTACAATTGATTTCATGTTAATTATATTATATTATATACAATTGATTTTTTAAAGGACCATTAAAAGAGAGTTCTATTACTGAATTAGGTTCTAAATCTACAATACCTATACATTTTAAAATGTAGTTTTATAATCCTGTTTCTTTCAAGTGCTGTTGGACAACAAAGGAATTGGGTGTTTAAAAAAATTGGAAGGACTTACTAGAATAGCAAAGTTTTATATTCAATAAAAATAGTTTTTAAAGTGAGGTAGTGCTGTATTTTTTTGTCCAAATGCAAGAGTTCAGGCTTCATATAATATTTTTATATGGAATTTTAAGTATTTATTCTTTTTTAAAAAGTTGCTGACTTAATCACAAGTGAAGCCTAGTAAAAAGTGGGCCCCAGAATGGCCAAAGTGTTGAAGAGTTGAAGCAGAAATGGGTAACCCCCTGACCTCTGACTTTACTGGAAAATGATATGCAACATAAATTTAAGGGGCCGTTTTTTCTTTCAAGTATTTCTTCATATATGCGTTGTGGCAGAATTGGCACATTTTCCATATTCATCCCAGTTGTAACATTAAATTTCATGTTACATAATTTATCTTTATGAAGTGAACTCTTCATTCTTAAGAATGTAGCACAAAGTCTCCACGCTCACTTTCACTGCTAAATTTTTAAAAATTATTTAATGTGTGAATAATACTGCTTTTGGAGAGGCCTTTCAGAGTATCAATAGAACAAAAAATCTTTGTGTAACTGTTTCTGCACATTTGCACACTTATATGACACCCATTTGCTTGAATAGGTTTTATGCAGATGTCTTAATGCATAGCGCAGCTCTAGAAATTTTTTATTTTTTTAATTATTATTATTGTTATTATTTTCTGATATGTATTTCACTTCCTACTATCATATTCAACTGAATAGGCAGATCATTAATGCTTGATGCTTTCTGAATCTGTCTTGATCAAGAAGGTAAATATGGATCATTGGAGTACCTGTAAAAGAGAACCTGAGAACTAAACTGAGTTGATTTTCTCCTAAAAATCTTCTGAAAATACTGATTTCATTTGAACAAATGAATTTGTTTCATTTGAAAAAGTTCCTTCCATCAGTGACTTTCCTGATTGCAGCCCCATTCCATTTGTCACTAGTAGCAGTCAGTACAATAGGTGTGTGTACTCCAATGTCTTTATGGGGAAAAGGGGAAAAGACCTTTTGTGGTATTTGTCAGGCCAATGGATGCTTCACTTTTTTCATATTCATTCATTCATTCATTCATTCATTCATTCATTCATTCATTCATTCATTCATTCTAAATGCTTTCCACTTTTAATGGGAAATGTGGGGTGCCCTGCACCTTTATTATATTTGCATTCATATTCTGCCATTCTGCTTGGAGTGCAAGGAGGAACACAGAAAAATACCCCTGCAGCAACAATTCTCTGAGGTAGGCTGGGCTGAGAGAAGACAAATTGTTCAGAATTGACAAAGGCTTTGTACTCAGAATGACTTTTTGGTTATTTGTGTGGCTTTGCCTATTCTTCTGTTTTGGTAGTACTTCTAATTATATTGTACATTGGATAGTACTGTGCCTGCTCACCTATTTATTTTCTTGACTACTGGTAGCTCAATAAGATGTTTGGTGACAAGGTGTATGTTACAAAGACTAAGGTTTAATGAGCTACAGAATCAGCAGTCAGAATCTTTGCAGAATTCTTGTTAAAGAAGCCTACTTTTCCAAAGCAAGTCTGAGTATTTTCTAATATTATAAAAATATTAGAAGATTATTAAAAAAAAACCCATACAGCTGGGCAAATTTAATTGTTTGTGGGTGCTATAGTAGAATACCATGTAGGAAGCAAACTTTCTGGAAGGGAACTTTGATGCAAAAAAGCTGACATAGTGTTTGAGGAGTAGTCTGCATTATTCTTCCTGTCTTTTTCATACTTTATGGTAGAGTGGAGTTCCATTGTTTGCCCAGTCACTATGAAGAAAGAAAGGCTTTCCTTCATGCATAAATTACACTGATTGGTTTTAGGGACATTTTGTAATCCTGACATTTAATAAGCTAGAGGAGATGATGATGATGATGATGATGATGATGAAGAAGAAGAAGAAGAAGAAGAAGAAGA